TGCGGCGCATTAGCCACCACAAAGTGCTATAATACAGTGCTCCTTCCTTATTTGTGTAGTTCCAACCAGTGCAGCGCATTAGCCAACACAAAGTGCTATAATACAGTGCTCCTTCCTTATTTGTGTAGTTCCAGTGCGGTCCTTTTGCCAACACAAAGTGCTATAATACAGGGCTCGTTATTTGTGTAGTTCCAAGCAGTGTGATGAAACGCTTCCTTCCCGGCTTTTCTAGTCGCAAGGGCCAAGTGCTATCGCGAATACCTAAGAAAGGCAGGGGACTGAAGATGAACACATTGACAAGAAGGGAACATTCAACCAACGAGATGGTTATTGAAACACCCACAGATGCTTCAACCAGCTGTGAGATGGCAGAATCTTCTTCATCATTTCAAAAGACTCTACGTTCAGATCCTGATGTCCTTCCAAGTACCTCTGATCCTACTTGTTATGAAGAGGAGGGCGAGGAGGCGGACGTGTCAGAGGAATGGGAGGAAGACAATATGGAATCTGCTTCCACCACAGGAATTAGTGATCAAGAGGACTGCATGCTGCTGGAGGGCGAGCTACAGAAACAACCAACAATTATACTCCCTTCCACAAACACCGACAGTCCAAACACGAGCATGAGTACATCTGAAGTGCGTAGTAGGGGTAGGCCGAGATCGCTCCTATGGGATCATTACGATGTCCATAATCAGAGGACCACTTTGGCAGTTTGCAGGCATTGCGGTGTGAGCGTCAGCAGAGGAAAAGATATGAGGCATCTTGTCACAACAGGGCTAAGGATGCACATTAAGAGACACCACCCAAATGTGAAGTTGGACGCAGTTGAAGTCGGCAGCACATGCAGCAGTATACAGAGCACTCCAACCACACCAACAGGCCCCATGCAGAAAACCATCGATGCTTGGGGCATGCAAGTTACAAGGGTGAGATCTGGATTTAAGCCGCCATCAGTGAAGGAAATAACACGTCGCCTGGGAGAGATGATGGCTCTGGACCACCAGCCCTTCCGTATGGTGGAAAGGGAAGGTTTCCGCCGATTTGTTCACCTCCTGGCACCATGGTACAATATCCCAAGTCGCAGAACTTTCTCTCGAACAGTCATTCCCGCTTTGTTCGAGGGATGCAAGCAACGTCTCAGAACCCTGTTGAACAAATCACAACCCGTCTATGTACATTTCACCTCAGACATTTGGACGAGCACGGGAGGAGGGCATTCCTATTTGTCCCTGACCGCTCACTGGTGGGAGATGAAGGGTTGCCTAGACTCAGGTCATCGTTGGGCACTCCTGTCCCTTGAGGTGATAGATACGGATCACAGGGCCGACACCATTTCTGAGTACTTGCGAGAGATGATGAGAGACTGGATGCAGCATACTCATTACGGTGGTACTAACTCGGGATTCATGGTCACAGACGCAGGAAGGAACATGATCCGGGTGGTCGAAAATGCCGGCTTCTCAAACGTAACATGCATGGCGCACTTGCTGCATAATTGTGTAAAAGATGGCTTCAAGGGGCCCGATGAGAACAGCGCCACCGCCGTCACTCAACTCATTGAGCGCTGCCGCAGAATCGCGGGCTTCTTCCACCGTAGCTCTAAGTCCGCAAAACTGCTGCGTGACAGGCAGACGCTGGAGTGCCTCCCACAACACCGGTTACTGCAGGATGTCCCCACCCGCTGGAACTCCACCTACATCATGTTGGAGCGCATGGTGGAGCAACAGAGGGCAGTCCATGCTGTCTCACTATCAATTGCGGCTCCGATAAACAAGCTGGTCCCCAACAACCAGGAGTGGATGACCATCACTCAGCTGGTTGAGATCCTAGAACCATTCAAACTGGCCACCGAAAAACTTTCAGGAGAGAAAGCACTACTCAGCCATGTGGTCCCAGTCATCTTGCGTTTGAAGAGCCATTTGGAGTCGCTGGGTGGACACAGTACATTGCAGTTTATGGCTGGGCCCCTGACTCCACAGGCCCAGGAGGTGGTCAGAAAGTTGAATTTCGCCCTCCGTAAATATCTTCTACCGTTGACGGAGAGTAAGACTCATGTTTTGGCAGCACTCTGCGACCCTTGCATCAAGGACTCTGTCTGCCCCAAAGAACTGCCAAAGTGGAAGGCCGAACTTCTCTCGCTCGTGAGAGAAGAATACTCTCGGAGGGTGGGGGAACGCTCAGAGCAAATTCCTGCTGCCGTTACTCCCCGAAACACCAGCGGTTACGGCAGCACCGATAACATTAGTCCCACCTTGCCACCTACCAGGGATGAAGGAAGAGCAGTGCAGCTGAAAAAGAGAAGCGTGGAGCATTTCATAACCGATAGTATCGTTTTGATGGCAGGGCAAGAAACATCTTTGCCGGCCCAGGCGGCAAAGATTGACTCAGCAGAGTTCTCTGTCAATCGTTACTTTGAGGAGCCTCAGGAGATTGTAGACAGCGATCCATTGGCGTACTGGTCCTCCCGAAGCAATACATGGCCTGACCTCTCAACCGTTGCACGCAAGTATCTCAGCTGCCCACCAACTAGCGTGCAGAGTGAGAGGGTCTTCAGCCTGGCAGGAGATGTCGTCACCCTCCAACGTACTTCGCTCGACCCCCTTGCGGTGGAAAAGCTGGTCTTCTTAAAGGCCAACTTGCCAGTTTTGGGCTACCCAGAGATTGATTTCAACAGCAACCCTTGCTCCGTGCCGTAGATCACCTTAGTAGCCTCCTGTTTTCAAAAACCCGAATTGAATTACTTTGAATACCCTAACCCTAACCCTTGCTCTGTCCCTTGGATCGGTATATTGCCTGCTGAATGAGGGAACATTGCCCTTATTGATCACCATGTGTACTTTGCTTTGTGTTGCCTTAAATTACTACTGCCTGCTGAATGTGGGAACATTGCCCTTATTGATCACCATGTGTACTTTGCTAAAATTACTACTGCCTGCTGAATGTGGGAACATTGCCCTTATTGTTCACCATGTGTACTTTGCTTTGTGTTGCCTTAAAAATTAATACTGCCTGCTGAATGCGGGAACATTGCCTTTATTGATCACCATGTGTACTTTGCTTTGTGTTGCCTAATATACTACTGCCTGCTGAATGCGGGAACATTGCCCTTATTGATCACCATGTGAACTTTGCTTTGTGTTGCCTAATATTACTACTGCCTGCTGAATGCGGGAACATTGTTGTGATGTGTACTTTGCTTTGTGTTGCCTAAAATTACTACTGCCTGCTGAATGCGGGAACATTGTCCTGATGTGTACTTTG